CTGTTCTTGCCTGAGGTAATGCAGGGCTGGTATCCATCATCTTCTCACTGTCCATAGGTAGATAAAATCCTTCTCTACAGTGTATTTCTCAGTTGGTTTAAGGCAGTTAAAGGTTCTTTCTGTTGCTTATAGTTGCAAGTTCTTAATCCTTCTCTTCAGTTTCAGCTGGCTGGCCCAGAGGCCACGCGGCGACGGGAGGGGGGGGCAGGTGCATGCTGCTGCCGCCGGCTTAGCAGGGCCCCGGGGGGGACACGCAGAGCCCGGAAGGGCCCGCGACGTCCCCAGGCCGGACGCAGCCTTGGCGCCCGGCCCGCCTCCCGCCGCTGCCAGCTTGGCGGGGTCAGCACACTATTTTCTGACAAGAAGGGCTCTCTGTCCCTATGTCGGTTTACGCAAACATTGTAGTTGGTGTTGGTTGCCTGCTTTTCTCAGGGGGTCTGGAATTTGGGTATGCCACAGGCAGAGGTACCCGTGTGATCAGCCCTCAGTTAAACCCTGGACTCTGGGCCGGTGGGTGGCACAGTGGCTGAGCCATCGGACTCCCACATGACCAACCACAGTTTGGGTCCCAGAACTGATGGTTTGCTTTCTCACATTCTCTTTCTCTCTGTGTGTGTGTCTCTCTGATGAGCACATGTGCCCTATAGCAAACTAAAAATAATAATATTGATAAATAAAGTAAATGATTTTTTAAGATTTTTACCATAGGGTGTGTGTGCTCACGAGAGACAGTGAGAGGGGAAGTGAGAAATTACCCCTGGGGGCATGGCCGTGCCACCATCTCTTCTCCATTCTCCTCCTGGAAGTTTAGGCACACACACGTACGCCTGGTATGATTTTCAAGCTGCCAGGTCCAGGGCTTGAACTGCTGTCGCCCAGGTGGGTGGGAGGGAGTCCAGTGCCTTAACCACTATACCACCTACTGACCTCAAGTAATTTTTTAAAGAAAGGGAAAGAAACCCCGGGTCTGAGTCTCCTGAGTTTCCTGTAGAAGAAAGCACTTTGCATGTTTGTCATGATTTGATGCTAGAAAAATAAGCAGTCTTTGTGACTCCAAGAGGAGAAGATTCTGGAAGCTCACCCGGCCCTTCCCCTTTGCTGATTGTGCCCTGTGTCCTTTCAGTGCTGCTAGCGTAGCTGTGACTCCAGTAAGGGCCCCACCAAGTCAGCTCCCACTCTGCCCTTGAGTCTGCTTGTAGCTCTTGCACTTCGAGGATTGTTCTTGTTTAGAAGACCAGTTCTGGGTGTACAGGCTGCATAGTTCGTCTGTACCGAGGTGTTTGGAACCTGGAGGGTTTTTAGGCTAATGGCTCAGGCCCGAACTGGGAGCAGGAGTCTGAGGACATGCAGCTCGAGCCACACACACCTCCTGCATCTTTCTGTCAGCCTTGATGGCTCTGGGCTAGGGAGTTCTGCTTCCATGGTGCCACCCTCGTTTGGGCTCGGCTCCCTCCTGTAAGGGCGGCTCACCCGGCCTGGCCGTGGAGGTGCCGTGCCGTCTCAGGCCGTGGTACTATCTTTTTTTTTTTCTTTTTTTTTTGGAGAGGTTTTTGCTATAGGGCGCGTGTGCTCGCCAGACAGACAGACAGAGCAAGAGA